CATCTTGTGAATGCAGTCTAGGTGGTTCCTGCATCTTGGGAGGGCAGTCTAGGTGGTTCCTGCATCTTGTGAGGGCAGTCTAGGTGGTTCCTGCATCTTGTGAGGGCAGTCTAGGTGGTTCCTGCATCTTGTTCATGGTCCTTAGCTGTCACCATACCTGGGTAACAATTAATTACAACGTTTAGGTGGTTCCTCCATATTGCTTCACACTCAACCGCCATCTCAAGGAGATACTAAAAAACATGTGCTTAACTGTCATCAGCACCTTAATATCTTTTCTTGTTTCATTTTCGTAGGCAACTGGAAGACCCAACAGCAACGACAAAGCAGAGTGATGGGCTGAGTAATCACATAATAGGTGTCATAGTAGCTGTGTTGTGTGTCAGCGTCATATTAGCTCTTCTGCTCGTCATTGCTCTGTGTAAAACAAAGAAGCACCGTCGCATCATCGCTCCAGTCTACATGGAAGATGGCCAAACAGTAGCAGAACTCCAAATCACTTCAGAGAAGAGGGACAGCGAGTCTTCGCTTGTCAGTATTCATAGCTGAAGAGAATAATGTTTGATTTCAAACTAGTGTAGATTTTATATGTGAAATACACATGAATTTATATTAAATATGACAAAGAAGATTTGAAAAAAAAATTGTTTATCAGTGAACCAATTTTTTTATTTTTTTTAAACAAAGTTTCCACCATTTTATTTTTGTATGCAATCTGCATATTTTGCATTGCTAAAGAGCTCCTTAAAATTGTAGAAACCAGATAAAGCTTCACAAGGTAGGAATATCGTCGTCTCCCAAGATAGCTAGGGCATAAATGTTCATATTCAGGGTGTTATACTTTTATAACAAGTCTGTCAGATGTTATACGTTTACTCATGGGAACACATCAGTAAAATCCAGTTGACTTTTGACGATCGTAGCCATTTTGAATGATTCTCGCATCTTAAAATATCATGTATCAAACTTGCATGAATGCTGAGGGCATGTAATGTAATGTACTGTACTGTACTGTGCATGGAACAGAATTCAAAAAAACTTTTAAAATAAATATTACATTTTTGGGTTTTGTACTTATCTAATTTCTGTAGAACATTCTACCTCTTCCAAGCAATTTTAAATATTTTGAATGTCAGCCTAATAACATTAATGATGCTCAATATGGATAGAACGTTTGTATAAAATACTACCCCGGTAATACCTTGTTTGTTTACCTAAAAGGGAAGCTTATGCTGTGCGGAAACTGTGCCGCTTTGAATAATCTTGTGTAACAAAATATTCAAAGCAAGATTTTTCTACTTAAAGGGCGGTGGTCGTCGCACTGCGCATGTGCAACATTTGTGTTGATAAACATTGATTTTCCCACAATCCAATGCGCTTTTCTAATGGAAATCACAAGTATGAGGTTTTACCTGGGTGCGACTTGCACTGATTACCGCCAATGACTCCTTCAATACCTTCCAATCACCTAAAAATTCCTAATTAAAGTTTGGTAGCATCTCAGTTTGTACTCGTTGATCTACGCAACAGTCAAAGTCACCATCTTTGTTTATATGAGACCATATATCTCGTGCATGCATGGCGCGTCGACCATCGTCCTTTAATATATGCAGATTTGATGCCTTAGTCTGACCATGATTATGATCAACAACTTCCTTACAACAGATTTTCAGTCTTCTGCTTTAATGTAAATAATTTTTTTTTTATTGTTGTATAACAGGTGCTATTTATGATGTATTTTTGTACAGTTTTGAATTTTGACACAAATATTATGCATATTATATTCATGTATAAAGACTTTTATTATCTGACTTCAATATTTTCTATTTTTAAAAAAAAAAAAAAAAGTTTCATGTACCAAAGCATCGTATTTTTTACCCATGTGAAATTTTTAATTTGTATTTGTGTACTTATGTTAGTTAAGTAAAGGTGAATACCATTATAGTACTTTTATATTTTATATATGTAACTAGCAAGTCTCCAGATAAAATAACTGTTTCATCCCCCTTGATTTTGTACAAGAGCCTTATTGGTTTGCATGGCTACATGTTCAGGTAGTGAATATTTTCCGTGCCGAAACCCAAGACACCTTGTGTTCATGCATGTTGTACGTTGCGCACATCTGTGTGGATCTGATTGCATTCTACTTGTTTGTGTCTGGCTAAGTTATGGCAGTTGACTTTTAACATTACCATTACCATGCAACAGCCATTGCCAATGAAAAACAATTTTGACAACACTTCCAGTGTTTAACATGTACATTACCATCTGAATCGTGACCTACCTCAGTTTATTTGCAAAGGATTGAAGTGTCATAAAAATAAATGAGGAATTTCAAAATTGTAACATTAACATTAACAATGTGATTTATTAATATTGGTAAAAAACTCTACTACATCCTTTATGTTAAAATTCATAAAAATCAAGAATTTCTGCCACCCCGGAAATGAATCTTGGTCGTGCATGTACAGATTTTCTTCAAACATGAAGTATTATTGAGTTTTGCTGCACGTCATTTTGTTTGTCATTGTATTAGAAATGGCCAACTGGTGGTCATTGTTTTTAATAAATTTCCAGACTGTTCATGTTAAAAATTAAAACTCGCATTGATGGGAAACATTTTCTACATCAATAAAAAGAAAAGCTAACACAGGCAAGTCACAGTTAGAGATTAGCCAAAGCTTGGTCTACGTTTAGTCTTTTGTCCCAGTGTGTAACTCATTTATTGACACAGAATTAACACGACAAATCACTTAATAAACATAATGAAAATGTTCTCGTCAGTGACGCACGTCCTTCAAAATGCTCAGACTCTCTCGGCAACTTCTGTTTGGCAAAGCAAGCAACGTATACTCCCGGACTATTTCCAGGAGAAACTTAACAGGTCACACTGTCCAACCATCAGTAAAGAGTCTGTAGATGATGTGGTGAGCCAACATGGACCACTATTTGGGTACCTATGACCCCTCCCATAAAAAAACACATTCTTTCTGACACACAGATGCAGGCAGGACACTTGAGAACTCTAGAACAGTCAAGCCAGCTGTCTTCAACTGTCAACTGGTTCAAATCACAAGTCTATACAAATTGGTGTATTTAAAAAGGTTATCTATTATTTGGGTAAAAAAACTATGGAGATTATTTTGTTCTGTCTAAACATTTCTATGTACTGTATACAAATTTGGCCACTAATGAAACAATCAGTTTAACGATAAATCTATCCCCAGAGAGGCATTGTTTCTATTCTATCCTTACCCCAACACTGTTGACTTAAATGAGCCAGAGCATCTAATATTAAGTTAGTATAGAGAAAAAATAGGACATCAGGGGAGGATGCAAGAGTAAGAGTAAGAGTTCATCACTCTGCTATACAGACCTGCAAAATGTAAAATCCTAGCTACTAGTAGGTATGCATGGTATCTGAGAGCGTGCCAACATAATCATGCATGATGCCATTCATGTAGATTGGTACAGTCGTACAGTCTTTCTGTTCCATTACAGGGCATTCGCATTCGCAAATGATAGCAAGTGATGTTCAAAGAACAATGCAAAATATTTCGTCTTTCTAGAATATCAAAATCGACCACGTACTCTATCTACATGAGACCAATAGACTCTGGTAACATTCATGTAAGAAACTAGTGTTTTCAGACGACGTTTTTTTCAGTTTACCTACTGGAGTAAACATTTCACAGAATATGAGGCTCGATTAGGCGTCTCTACCCTGGGAATCGTCAGTATAGTCATTCTGATCATAGAGGCGAAATAGTTTTATCTCCAAGCGCTGACATGGCCAAGCCAGCTGTTGGTACTTGGGAAAGCCGGCTGTCGATCGAAGTCAGGTGCAGCCAATAGAGCTGTTTTATCGGAAAACCTGTTCCAATGGATTTTTTTTGAGGGCAGGAGATTTTTTCTATTTTGTGTAGGGGGCGGGAAATATCAGTATCCCCCCCCCCCCAGTGGGCAGGGCAGATTTCTAAAAAAAAATACAAGGACAGGGAAACTTTTTTTTAGCGGGTAGGGTACTTACATAAAAAAAATATCGCAGGGTGGGCAAAACAGCCTTTAGGGCAGGGTATAATAAAAACGCATTGGGGGAAATTACATCTGCTAAATGTGGGCAGCCGTGTGCTATCAATAACTGAAAATGCGAGTCACCCACTGATCTGCTGAGTGGTTAATGTATTCAAGAAGCCCATAGAAGCCAGTGACTCTATGAATTACGCCACCAATCGGTGTTTTTAATGAGGGGGGAGATGAATTTGGTCAGCAGGAGGGCAAGAAAGGCAAGTTGCCGGTAGGGGAGTAGGCAAAAAAGTGTTTGTTTTTTAATGAGTGCAGAGGAAAGATGAATTTGGTCAGCAGGAGAGGAAGACAATTTTTTTTTTCAGGTGGAGGGTAGCTTATAAACAGCTTTTAATTTCCCCCCTTTCCTTTATATTAATTAACATGCTTCAAAATATTTCGTTTTCAGTGGGTCAATTTTTGATGCTATTTGTCCTATGCAAAGTCCCTTTAAACGAACAAAAGCGTTTGAAATGTCTAGAACAAAAAATGAGAATAATCTCAGAAATGGTCAACTCAGAAACGGGAACTTTAATGTTTAAAACTGCTGAATGATCGAGAAGCACGTGTGGGTTTTACTCTCGCTTTCACAATGTCCTTAAAGGTTTTAAAGTTATCACCACTTCAACGCCTTATTAAATTTTTCCAGCGATTTATTCAGTTGTATGTATCTGATGCTTGCTTGATTAGTCAAATGCGATCAAACTTGTTTCAACAATCATTTTGCATTTTTCTGAGGGGCGCTGCCGCTGGAGTGTGTGATTCCCTCCAGCGCAAAATAGGAAGAGGATGGCCTTGTTTATACATCATGTGGCCAGATATGTCATTAGATAACGCCCCAGGCGTCGATTCCATTTTGCGATTGAATCGATATTCCTCATGCATTATATATTATAGTACTCCCACGTTTGCTTTTTTCTTATTATCATAATCACGTACCAAAGCTGCCAGGTTTATTGACACAATCGAATAAACTATACATCAATGTAAACCCATTAATGTAAACGAGAGTATCCAATAGACCTTCCAGTTCGACCGTCATAGAATTCATACAAACAGCGACTCACGTGAATGTCCCCCGGAACGTCGAATTTTGTATTGGTATTGGCGTCATTCGGATGAAGTTCGGTTATTGAACGTCGTCGTTACTACAAATACTCAACTACTTTCAATTTGGAAGTGTTTATTTATTGTACCAGCCTAGTCACAAGAAGGTCATTAATCGTATGACAATGTTTATTGAGGTTATTATATACAACTATATTTCCATGGTAACAGTAAAACAACAATCTATGTGTCTCAATGATATTAAAAATAATATTATTTTTAGAACCGCTTTGTAGAAGTTATTAAAGCATTTGTCATCACACTTTCGTATTTAAACATAACAAAAAGTACCCTATCAGTAACGATATATTTGTCATGAGTGCGTTTTATTCAAAATGGATATATTTTGTGTTTTGTATGTATATAATTCTACCTTAAACATCTTCGCGAACCGGATTTATGATTCATCTCAAGGGAAGGAGTCGCGAGTGTACTAGTATAGAAATATTCTTCGTTTCATCTCCAAGTCATGTCATCCTTACTCGATATCAGTGGACGTTGACTCTGTGTGTGTACAGTTTTACTCTGGAGATATAGCCGACAGCTGATTTGATAAAAGCTCACAAATTAACGACTCTTTTTTTATTTTTTTTTTTTTACGATAAATTAAGTTACAAGACAAGGCATTTAATACATCAACAATCAAATATTCACAAACCAAAACCTACGAGAGAAACATAACCACCCTTCACATACTTGAAAGCAAAAAGCCAACAAAAATGTACAGCAACATGATTATCGTAAGAAAATAATCGTACAGAAGAAGAAAAAAAGTGCACAGAAGTTACACCCCGAATTACCAGTAGTCAATCGTTTAATTTTGTTTAATTAAATTCACATTTTCAGCAGTGTTCAATCATAGACAGTGTAATATAGACAGCGTACTATACTGTCTATGGTTCAGTCACCTTCTCCTGTGAACTAATCGTTTTCAAGTCATCCATCATCTTCGATACGTTTCTTGGCAACTTCTAGACGATAAACAGATAAATACATGATTAATCAGTATTTAACATTAATAATTAATTTTAAAATACAAGGAGTAAACTAAACATGGTTACGCCGCATTTAAGTAAATGTGTACTTAGTTTTTGGTTATTATTCACTTAATACTGATTATTTGTAAGATATGGAATCTTATTTATTATATTTTATTATTAGTGAGCAACACCGTTTTTGTGACGTGTGTGACTGGCTTCTTTGTTTAAATATATATATACATTCATTACTGATAAAATGTTCTACCGTTCACGGCGAGGAGAGATGTTGCAGTAGCCGGCCGACTGCAATTCGACGAACTCTCCGGTGAATTTGAAACCACGACGGAATAGTCACTTTCGTGTAATCATCGCTTGTCCGACATGTTAGCTACTATGAGCTAGGTTATTGATGATTGGCTCGTATTGTTTTAATAACAATCAAACCGTTTACTCCCCGTATCATAGCAACCGCATCTGAAATGGCAATCATATACAAAGTTTACACACGATACGTAACTATGGAATATACCATAATTAAAGAGGAAGGTCACAGCTATGCGGGATGCAACGAACAACTGTTGAGGGACGGATGCGAAATGATTTACTAGTATTACGGAGGACGCGCACGTACATTGCCGTCGTCATCAACGCATTGCATTATGGGATGCATGTCGGTTGATAAAGGCGGCTTTAGGCGCATCCGACTTAGAAATGAGCGTTCGGTTGTATTACGAGGTTTTGGAGTTAGTACGCCCCTCCTCCATTATTTTGAAGTCTTTCTCCGTCTTTCTAAATTGTATATCAGTACGAAGTACTATTTGAAAAAAAAACACGATTATATATAGAACTGAAATAATTTGTTTCGATAGTCGAAAATGCGCAGCATTCCCATTTTGTCACGTCACTTTGTGTAATTGTAATGACAAGCATTTAATTCAACAACAACAACAACAACAACAACAAAACTTGTACTTCGCTTTGGCATTGAATGAACAAAACAAGTCCTGGAACCGTTACATGGTTCACATGTCGGGTGAAGTAGTGCGCCACCTGTTGATTCCCTGTACCTATTCAATTTGGTTCCTATGGACACCGATCAATATTATCGTCTTTGGAACTGAACAGCTCTTTGATGAGCGGCAACGAACGGTCATTGTACTCTCTCTATATACAGATACAGATCCGTACTTGATTTTGCAGGGCGCTCATTAAATGCTTTTATTTGCCGATTGAAGGATTATCGATCGTTCATCGACATATTTATTTTCAAAAGAGGTCATTACAATAATCACTGTAACCTTCCAAGGACACACTTGTATGCGTGGAAGGGTCGATATATTGCGCATTTTAATATGAACTTGACTATGGTGGATTTTTAGCCTGGTTAAACACTCTAGGTGTGGTATACGTTTGTTGATATCCGTAAAAACACATCAAAACACATCTCATAGCAAGAAAAAAACGCAAAAGGCATTGATCGATATGTATAAGAACAATAAGAGCCGTGGTCATGAAACATTGTCACCGTATTAAGGTGTCAGATAATCGCGATGATTTATGTGTTGTTGGAGACGGGAGGGGGGCAGATAAATAAACGGTACTCGCCGTTGTTCAAATATCTACGGTCAAATATATATCAGCGAGATGACACTTAAAGATTTGAGAGCGGTTGAATTGAAATTCAAGCCAACTTCGCATTGACGTCATTAATTTCAAGTGACGGGAGATTGACGCAATATGTCACAGTCGTGCCATTTAAGAATACGAATAGAGAGGATTTTCGTGGCGTTTTGGAGTTAAAAAAATAAGCTTAGACGTTCTTTATATATTGGCATGGATTTTTACATCAAAGTTTACTAATACTATTTTACCAGTAAGTTTGAAATGCTTTTATTTTATTGTCCATAGAAGTTATTTTTACTCGTTCCTGCATCGATTATAAAACATTCTAGTTGGTACATGATAATGAACTATGCCTGCCTGTCGTTTGAATACAGTTATTGGCCTAAACAACGTTGCATCAGCTGTCGTCATGGAAACTGTATATTAAATTAATTCTAATCTGTGTTGAATTTGGAGTGATAATGAGCGCTATAATTGTATGAATGAGATGTGGAATGACATGGTGATAACAACACATTCATTGAAAGTGGAGGCTGTTGACCTTCAGTAATTGATATTTGGGTTCACGTTTAACTGACTTGGGTCGCCAGCTGCGACAAAAGACGTGGCGTTCTTTATATACGGGTCTTCATTCACGAATCGTACCATTCAACAGTTTGATGCTACACATCGGCTTATCACCACCACTTTATTGTCTATAATTGTTGTGTTTTTTTTTACTTGCGATCTTGAACTGCTTTCATGCTATTTGAAAGATATAATGACACAAATGACGTGTCCTCCAAAACTTAATCGTATGCCCCGCCCAGTAACGGTTATGGGTAGTGTATGAACGTGGGACGGTCATTATACATTTTGTATAAAGTGTCTCTCTGCTACGCGACTTCTGACAAGCCTTAGATTTCGTGATTCGGGCGGAAATCGACTATTATAGTTCACAAAAGATTTTTTTTCAAAGCGATAAACCACATCCATCCTGATATAACCGACCTTTTAAGTTTTTTTTAAAAAAAAAAAAAAAACATGTACCGCCATTACCGCGCAAAATAAAATATTTATCAAGGCTACTACCCGCTGGTAAGAATAAAAAAAGGTTATATAGTGAAATGGACAAAGTAATAAACACTAAACTGACAATATAATACGAAACAATATAGAGAAATGTAACGTGTGTTTTGAGAACTGTACATGCTGCGGTCTCCCACTGGCCATCTACCTGATTAATTGCATATAATATCGTCTCAGATTGTATCTCAAAATTCAGTTTATTCATCGCCGTGATATATTTTTATTAACAGTTCCCGTATATTTCAGCGTTGATTACACTAAACTCCAAGCTCCGTTGATCCAGGAAATACACGAAGAGCTCGGGGCTGATTGGTGCGCTGCGGTCTTCACGACGACCCTCCGCCTTATACATACATCGTCCGATGAACGCTTCACGGATTTGAATGTTAATATAATTCTAAGCAATTCATAAAATGTGTTTAAAAAAAATAACAGATGTTGTCGATGATCTGTATGTTTATCTGATGTTTTGGTTCGCGCCATGACAACGAGGATTCGTTTCATCCTCACGGTCATGACGTCATCGACGTACATTCCACAAGTGTGTGAATGTATACGCACCAGCTTGTTTCAAACAAGACGCGACTGTATTGTTCTTTTCTCTTACTCTCTCTCTTCATTGAATGCTGAATATAAAAAACAACTCTCGCTCAACAACTTGAACTTTCCGGAATAATTATCGGACGAACTTGAACCTGGGTAAGGCATCCACAATTATTTTAATGTATAATGTCTCTATTGTGTGCGTTACTCCATGCAATAGTTACTTCATCGCTCCCCAATATCGCATATTTGTTAACATTATATTATCTTGGCTTAAAACAAAACACAATAGTTGATCGATCAGTTCATACCGGACTGTATGGGAGTCGTGATAAGTGTTTCGGTGTCTAAGTAAGTTGTATCTTATAATATGTATATTGAATACGGCTACACGTTGTTAAATTACTTCCTGGCGCGAATAATATTAATAATGTTATCATCAAATCGTGTATATTTCAATTTAGAACTTCAAATCAGTCGGTCAATTTCACGAGAAAGCCATATATTGAGTCAGTGCGCTCTGGCCCAACCAACAAAACGATGTTATACGAACCCGGAAAGTGAAAGCTACACCTACTCAGGCTCAAGTGGCGCGTATTACATCGTGACTGTTAACAGACATGAACTTGAAGAACAAAATAATAATAAAAATGGAGGTGAACATAAGTTTTTGCACCGTATACAGTTACGGCATGATACAATACGTCATGGCCGTTCAGTGAGCACGATTTGAATAGAGAACCATATCGATTCTACGCTGCTTGTTATGTTGAATGCTCTTTCTACAATGCGTGAATGGATGGCTCTTAGAATACATGCATTTGACTTCGCTGTCAGTCTGATGAATTCTTTGGTAGATATGAAGCTTTTGAAATTTCAAAAAAGAAATATACATCGTTTTATTAGGCCTACTAATATATTTTTTAATTAATTAATATATTTTGTTTAGAACGATTTTCATTGTAGTTCAAAGGAACAGAATACATTTGTCAATTAGTTTTGCTTGCAGACTAGTGATTTATCGTTCTATATTTAAGTCAACACCCGTGGACCCATTCTCGCCGCCAGATCTTATTTTCGGACAAACATACATACAGACACACATTTCTAATTTGGCGTTTAAAATGAAATAAAGGCAATAATAAATTGAGAGGACTGTAATCATGTCTTTATGTGTTTGATAAATTTAATTAGTTTGTTATCAAAATTCATGAAATTTACATTTACACTGTTGATAGTGTAAAACATTCCGTCTCTAATTTGTATATAGTTTACAAAGTAATAAATGATCTCCAACTTCAAACAAATATATTTGAAAACCTTTAAATAGAGGGTTTTCCAATATTTATTAAAATGGCATAGTTTGAAAACATCAATTTGAAACAAAATCGAAGTCGGATGTATGTATGTATTACCATATAATTTATTTTTTACATTTAAATAATAATTTTCTTTTCTGTACATGATATAAACATACAACACACAAAAGATTACATTTGGCGAATTCTGCTTCGCAATAATAGGAAGAGCCGACATCGAAAAAGTCATTGAATTCTGAATGTTAGTAATATATATATATATTTATTTATGTGTGTATGTGTATGGAGAGAAAAACGAAAGAAAAATATAATAATAAAAAAAATTACATTTGCCCAATAATTATATTATATTATAGAATAATAATATTTAATAAATGCGTAGTACGTAACAATCCATAACAATCTCTGCCATTAAAAGTCCATTTTGGCCGAAATAGTGTAAGTTTAGTAGTAATATATCAATAGATGACGCTTTTCGGTAAATAGAAAAGTGTTTTGTTGTTGAAAGTTTGTTTTCCTCTATCACAGAATACTGTGTCCGGTTGAGTGAGTTTGAAAATTATTGTTCATTGTAATCTTGTGTCACGCCCGTGAATGTACGAATCTCTATGTTGGACAGCTGTGCACTGAACATAGTTGCTAATTTGTTGGGTCGCACCAACTGCGCATGTACACGAATAGTGTACACCAATAATATAGTATAGGTGTTACGACCCAATGAGAATATACATGTACACAGTCGACAAATGTAAACGCTTGGAAACTACGATTTACACATCTGACCAATGAATCGTGGACAGAAAATTGAAACAAGTTTTAACAAAAATTGAATTTCAAATTAATTAAAATTAACAACCGAGGTCATGTCACAGTATTCAACTTGAAGATGAACCAATCAAACCATAATTAGTGGCGGTCTACGAGAAAATACTAGTATACAACTTAATCAGTCCGTCATTTCAATTTATTTTCTCGAGAATGTAATGTCCTCTTATTTTGGTATAATTTAACTTCTTTGAGAGAAAAGTTGTTTAAAACATTTAAAGTTATATTTATCGTGGCGACATCGCTGGTTAAATGTATTCATTGCAACTCGTTTCTCGTTAATGCAATGCAAACAATTAAACCAATAATCAGACAGTCATTGAGAATATAATTACTTTTTTCTATAGTAAATGTTGGTAAAGCGGCGAAGAGTGGTTTTCGCTTTTTGTCAAAGACGCTCAACACCGTCACCCCGTATCGGGATTGAAACAGTACTCAGCTGTCGTGAACTTGCAATTGTGTGCCGATGTTACAGCCAGAACGCAAACACACGTTTTGACTGCAATTCGCCGCACAATTGCTCTCTCAAGTAGTAGCAGCTGCCGAAGCGCTATTTCAAAGAGAAAAACCGTCTTAAGTGCTTAATTAAATGCCACAATTATCCAACGTCCGAAGTACAAAGGGTGTTTGTATTGTTGCACTTTGACTTGTCAAGAAGTGATAATGGCCATGAGCGCGTGTACTGCTCATGTCTGCATAATTTAAGTAGAATACGGTCAAATTGAAAATTTGAATTTGTAAGTACTGACCAATACCAGGACCATGCTAGTTGTCAGTAGCTAGGTATTTAAAAATAGTGGACAATTTATTCTTGAATAAATATATTACTATGAATTTGGGGAAATACTATTTGAAATTTGGAACTCGACGCTCGGAGACTAAAAAACTAAAACTAAATAATAATACAGTGTGCTAGTAATATGGCCGGGAGTCATTGTCTAACAAGTTCACGTACATTGATGTCGAATTCGCTGCATCGTCAGGCCTTACACATATACTAGACGTAGACGTTACCTTGCAAACAGCACACCAAGATGCGATTCAACGGACAATTCAGTGTTCTGGCGCATGGCGAACCATAATGCATAGTAAGTTGGTCAAAATATCCCTCGGCCAACGTACTTTTATTAATTTGACAATCCAAATTTAAAAAAAAAAAAAAACAAAAAAAAACAGGTGAATAAAAAATATACTGGCATATTATATATTAGAGTTCTATACATATAGTATTTGGGGGGAGGGTATAGAAACAAGAAAGAAACCGCGCTGTCAGTTGTCCAAGCTAGCGACCTCTCTATGAACTACATTGGCGAGTTCCGCTAAAAATTACACGACGCGATTACTGTCAAAACTTTTAACTTTAGGCAAAATTACAATTGCCAGGTCAGTGAGTTTTTTATACGTCCAGTAATGCAAGCTTTATCTAGTGAGCTGAGCCCAGTCCTTTCATTTTAACGTAGAATCCACAACTTGAATTTGGGTGTCGTTGTCAGCACTGCCAAATTCACATTACACATTGTTCCCAAGTATTCAACTTGGAAGTTAATTTGGCGTTTGCCGTGGTTACATCAGTGACGCGTTATGAAGTTCTTCAAAAAACAGGGGGTACTGTAGTGTTTCACTCCGGATAAGATAAAAAAAATACTGTTTATTTAAGCGAATTAGTTGAGCGCATGGATTGGAATGTTTAATCTGAACTTGAAAGATGGATACTTTCAACGCGAACAAAACAGTTCACAAAAGTATGAGATATCTTGTTCATATATCGGTGGTTTGCGAACAAGTCCGTGTTTCACCTGCTTCAAGTCAGTTAATGATACCTAACGTAATCTGGGTTGCGATACCCCCAAAAATAAAAATAAATCAACAACTAACACGTTACTCAGGTCAGTAGTCGTGGGCTCCGACCGAGTTAGGTACTAACAGCGATACTACAGTACAATTTAGAAGGATAGCAACACAGAAAACAATGTAGTCTTAAAATGCAATGTCCGAGTTGGTTGTTATACCAATAAATCAGTGTATACAATATACTACACAGACACATACAATCCGGATTTCCCAGTCCGGTCAGGATCATATGGTTTACTTGCTCTACATTAACCATCAGTATCGACATAGGCATGAAAATCATATTTTATCTTTTTTCAAGATTTTTTGCTTATCAATTAATGAGCATCGACCCACGATGCATCATTATATTGCAAAGTAAATATTGAAGATATTTTATCACATACATATTTCAGTGTATGCTAGAATTAACCTGCCAGCCGTTGTAAAACATCGGTGTTCTGTGAACTTAGTAATTCTGTGAATTCTGTGGAAAGTACATAGTGCGAAAATTAAGGAAGAAATGGAATTAATTTTTAATTTCTTCTCTGCCGTAAACCATGAAGCAAATAAGCTGACCCCTGCTTGTTTATAGGACAAGTGATAAAATTAGTAGTGTTTTATGCGAATTACATTTTAATATGCAATATGAGACGAGAACAATGATTTTTTTAATACTATATGTTGATAAATAATTTAAATTAGATTATGATGTACCACGAGCTAAAAACGTTAATTTATTCAGGAGGTTAGCGCCAGTATTCGTTCGATGCAAAAGTGAAAGTGTCTCATGCCCGCGTACATTAATTGTGTTGGTACAGTGGCAGTCACTGCGCATACTACAGTGAGCTTCAAAACCAAAGTTATTAGTAAGTGTACACTGAATAATACTGTAAAATACTTTATTTTAGCTGGAATTAATGTTTGCTAAAATTTTTTTGGTGACTATGTTGACCAGTTGATTGTAAAATATAGGAAAAAGGGTATATTTGCTGGATTTTAATTTTCACTGAATTATTCTTTCAGCGAAAATAGCGAAAATAAAGTATTCTACAATAGTTCAATTTGTTCCTCAAAATGCCACACCAGTATTAAATAAATTAAACAATATTATAAATACATGTTTTCACCCATAATGCAACTTTAAAAAATGTATAAATTTTATGTATAAAAATTATCGAT